AGATAGAGAGAGAGAGAGAGAGAGAGAGAGGGGAGAGGGATGAGGGACAGAAATGGGTAAGGGGGAGAATGAGAGATAACGGATATAAAGAAGTAAAATGAGAGGCAGAGGGAGTGAATGAGACTGAGAGAAAGAGAAAGAGGGGGGAAAACACCAACGGTGATAACCGGGAGGAAAAATGTAATGAACGTACAAACAAACAAACATTAGACTTCTGTAAAGAAAAAGACTAATCTACTATAAAAAGATAGCACACCTTTGAAGTAGGTCGAAGTTCAGAAATAGCAGTTCTTTGTTGCTATAATTACCCAATGAATAATCCAAAAATCAGATTACCAGATCAATAAATATTTATGCCTCACTCAACCTACAACAGTTTTATTCAGACCCAGTGAGCAAACTTGGACAATTCATGGTCGCTGGTTATAAGACACTGACTTAATTTACGACTAGAGGTGAGGACAAAGTCGGTCGGAAGGAACAGGGTGAGGGTGGAAAAGGGAGGTAGGGATGGGGAGGGTGAGTTGGTACCGTTGTCCTGAATTTATACCAAAAAAACACACCAAAAAAAACGTTTTCTTGTATCCTTGTCATTTGTCTGATCTTTTCTCCACTTTTTTTTTTTTTACTCTATTTCCTTTTTCAGGCTGGTTATGTGTTTTATGCGTTTTATTGGTAATATCATCAGATCATTTTAAAGCAATATATCAGCGTAAGTCGTGTAACAGTCAGGAATCATTTCAAGGTGTAACAATCTGGAATCAGACATTCCACCGTTGCATGCAGAAGACCTGAGTCTAAATTTCACATACAAAATAAGTTCATTTTATAGAGTATCACCTTCTCCCTGCTTGGATGAGTGTCAGACACAGCTCCAGTTGGCCCTGACAGACATAGTGGAAGCAGCCCGCCTCCAAAATGATCAAAATTGGGTCTGTGGAAGAATAGATCATTATATTTAAGAGTAAAGATATTGCACAGCTCCATTAGTGAAATACAATACACAGCCAAAAAACAATATGATCAAAACAAATGCTATACCCCACCCTGCCACCTTTTAACCCCACCACGAGAAAGAAAATGCACACACACACACACACACACACACACACACACACACACACACACACACACACACACACACACACACTCA